CAGCTTTCACTGAGGCCATTACTATTCCATAGTACAAAACAGAAGTTAACAGTGATGAAAACAGAATACTAAGATATGGAAAATATCAGGGAGGGAGAAGAGACACCTGGAAGGGGGCAGAAGCAGGAAAAAAAATGCATAAAGAAAAACTATGACATCTGAAAGAAAAAAGTACACTAGATGGAAATGATTGATGAAATGCAGAGCAAAAAAAAAAACTGGATAAGAATAAACACAATAAAGCATATAGAAACAAACTCTTACAAGCAATTTATGGCCCTTAACAATAAATTCATCATTAGCATCACTTTTCATATAACCTATACAACACTACATCACTTAGCAGAACCACAGAATAACTGAGGTTGGAAGGGACCTCCCTGCACAGGCAGTGTCACCTAGAGCACATTACGCAGGATCACAACCAGGTGGGTTTTGAGTATTTCCAGAGAAGGAGATTCCACAACCTCTCCGATCAACCTGCTCCAGTGCTCTGCTACCCTCACAGTCAGGAAGATTTTCTTCAAATTAAGGCAGAGCTTCCTGCACTTCAGTTTGTAGCTGTTGCCTTTTGCCCTATCACTGGCCACCACTGAAAAGAATCTGGTCCCTTCCTCTTACCATCCTACCTGAGGGCTTTAATACATATTGATAAGGTCACCTCTCAGCCTTCTCTTCTTTGGGCTGTGCAGGCCCAGCTCTCTCAGCCTCTCCTCACAGGACAGATGTTCCAGCCCTCTGACCACCTTTGCAGCCCTGTGCTGGACCCTCTCCAGCAGCTCCAGGTCACTCTCATATTGGGCAGCCCAYRGACACCCCACTCCAGATGTGGCCTCATCAGGACTGAGCGGAGGGGCAGGAGCCCTCCCTGGGCCTGCTGGGCCCACTCCTCCTCAGGCACCCCAGGACCGTGGGCCTTCCTGCCGCACTGCTGGCCCGCGGTCAGCCTGCAGCCCCCCGGGACCCCCAGGTCCTCCTCCACAGCGCAGGTCACCCGTAGCCTGCACTGGTGCCTGGGATCGTTCCTCCCTACATGAGGGACCCTGCACTTGCATGGCTGAACTTCGGGAGGTTCCTCTCTGCCCATCTCTCCAGCTTGTTCAGGTCCCTGTGAATGGCAGCATGGTTCTGGTGTAGCAGCCATGCCTGCCAGTTTCATATCCTCAGCAAACATGCTAAGGGTGCTCTCTGTCCAGGTCACTATTCAGGTCACTGACAAATACACTGACCTGTGGGGGACACCACCAGTTACAGGCCTCCAACTAGACTGCACCACTGATCACAACCCTTTAAGCTCTGCTTTTCAGCCCGTTCTCACTCCACCTCACTGTCCACTGACCTAACCCACTTCCTGTCTTCCCTATGAGGATGTTACATGAGATAGCATCCAAAGTCCTGCTGAAGTCAAGGTAAACAATATCCACTGCTCTCTCCTCATCTACCCAGCCAGTCATTCCATCACAGAAGGCTGTCTAGATTGGTTAAACACGATATTCAATATATAGAAGTAGTTTTCCCTCTTTTCCAAATTGTAAAACATGTGAATCAAATCCCTAAAACCTGCTCTTCAAAATAGGACTTAAAAAAAAAATTAAAGAGAAACTTGTATCATCCTTTCCCATTAAGAGCTATGTCACTCAGGTAGGCCTGGCCCTTCACTCCCTCCTTGCTAGATCACTTTCTTTTCAACCACAGTGCTGACAGCTCACCTGCCTGTTACACCACAGAGCCATCAAACCGGGGCACTAAACCAGCTGGGAATTAAGGTGGTAAAAGCAGGAACCAAGGGGGGCAGGTGCTTCTCAGGCAGATCACTTCCCTGCTCCAGGTCACTGCACAGCTATGCAAACAGCTGCACTGGCAAAACAAACAGGATGGTACAAGGCTGCATGCTTATGTGTGTGTGTATGTACATACATGAGGATGCGTGCTTGTATACAGGTGTTTTATATATATGTATATATGAGAGGGTGTGTGTATATATGCTCATATATACATTCATACGAGGATATGTATTTGTACAAATACACACACACATATATAACCAATATCTACTTAAGACATTATCGCTGTCAAAGAAATTCACTTCGACTTGTAACCTAAATGAAAACCACTCATTCAAAGCAAGGTCCTTAAAAAACTTGTTCAGTACAATAAAAAAGTTCTTCGCTAACACAGGAGAAGCTGCCACCATCTAAGATGGAACAAAAGTAACAAGAAAAAAAAAAATCAAAAAAAAACCCTTAGTCTATACTTTTAATTTTCTACACTAATCTGAAATTATCACTAGACTTTCCCCCCTGCAACAGAGGCTTTCCGCTATTCCAAGTATTGACTGCTACAACATGAATAACTTATTGTGGAACTTCTGGGCAAAGGTTAAACAAATGCCATTTTAAGCATGTTTGTTTTCTAAGTTTATTCACCTCAGTGAGACAAGGTGGACTTCTATTCCTCTCCACAGCCACTGAATCGATGCTTTGAGCTCACTTACAGAAGTGCGGTTTTCCCTACATACTAAGCCAATACAGAAGGCTATTAATCCTCGTTCCCACCTAATTAGTGAAGAATTCCTTGCTACTTAATGCTGAAAATCAGTTTTCTAGGTATACATCACATCCTAAGTATGTGATGAGGCCACTCCAACACATTTCATCAGTTTACAAAAGCACCTCAAGCTGGATATCTATCCCAAGAAAACTAAGTTTTATTACTTTACTGTAAACATTACTCATGCACATACATATTCATACGTACAGATATGGCTGGACAACTGGTTTTATAGTAGTAGTACTGGAGCTACTACTAAAGTAGTACTGGAGCTAGTACGAAAACTGGATGCTAACAGACACTAGTTGAGTATAAACTGACACATCCAAAGAAAGCTATTTCCATCCTTTTCCCCATCTCATAATGTTTCTTTTCTTTCAACTCAGACAAGGAATTTAATTAAAAAATAATCCAGTTCCTAAAAAGTTGGTTTAAACTTAACTGATTTCCTGATGTGGTTCATCACACAACAGCTTGTTTCACATAAAAGAGAGGAAGCAGAAATAAAAAGCCACCTTGAACAGAAGAAGGAAAAGCAGCAGGACTAACTAATGCCAGCTTAAAGTGTTCCTCATCTGACTGCCAAATCCGTATTAGCTGACATTGCCAACGTAGAACAAAAACCTCATACATCAATAATTTATTACATCTATCATCACAGTCAAGAGGAGATCAAAGGGAAAGATATCTGTATTATGTACACAGCATTTCATATAACCACTGAAAAATCCCTAATTAGAGATTTTGGTTTCCCACCAACTGCCTCACTCTCTGAAACGAACACACACAAAGCCACAATATTCATTTCTCAAAGTACATTTAAATAATTTCAAAATATTTATGTGTAATACAAGCAACATTACCTCTTGAATGTTTTGTCAGTCATGTTAATGGAACTCAAATCTTTATCAAAACATTAAAGTTGCTCAGTCACACTATTTTTTTTGACCTTTCCAGATAACCAAAGTTCTCAGACATATTTAGGAACCTTACATCAACAACATCTGTCTGCTTGTAGTTAATGCCTCCCTTGCGCAATTTAGGGACTGTACAGTCATTGCATACAGCATTTAAATGACTACAGTGCCTGTACTTTGGCAGAAGTCATTTGGCTTGCAAAAAGACTAACAATCCACTGGTGATCTGTCACTGGTGACATGACAAGAAGTCATGTATTCTTAAATTAATAGTGGGCAGTTTCTGAGGCAAAGGTTCTTTAGTAATAGATGATTTGTTACTCTTATCCACTGCCAAAGTATGACTTCTCTGAAGCCCTTTATCAAAACATCCTTTAAATGCTCAAATATCTTACTTAACTATGATCTATTAAGAGCTAAATTGATGATAAAGTATACAAATACTCTTAAATAGGAACTGATAAAGGATTTAATCAATTTCTAATCCCAGGAAAGAGACTTATTAACCTTTAAAAAATAGCAGGATAAGCGTATTCAGCAAACGTCTAAACTTAAAAAAGAAATATTACAGCTCTTTTTTAAATCTTGCAAGAAGTGGATGAAACTTTTGTGATTAAATTCTTTGTCTGAAACTACATGTTCTTTGAAACCTTCCTCAAAGTGGTTCTATTCAAAACAAGAGAATACAGCTTAAATTTTTAATCGCATCATACCGGTAGAACTCCTTGGATCAGGCTGGAACAGATTATGAAATCAATAAACAAGAGGGTTCTACAGATGGTTAAAGTTTTGTTTTTACTGCAGCACAGCCCATTTAACACATCGCCCGTTCCTCCCTCCAGTCCCACCCACTCAGTCACACTAACAAAATGTTTTGCGCAGCTCAAAGTACACCAGAGCACTGATACGAAGCACTTTGCTGGGCCCCACGCCTTTTTAAATTTTTTTTTCTCCCAAAACAACAATGAATTTTAGTAATCTATACTGTTCTGCCTGACATAGCAATAAAAATGAGTCAGGAACATAGGTCAGAATGTCTCCAGCTTGACCTTTTTCATTCCACACACATTTTACATTTACTTTGGCTTTTATTTTTCATATTTTCATAGCTTCGGTCTGATTCCAACTGAAATCTGTGCCTACACTCCTCTTCCCAAATCACCTCCACTTAGTTGTGCATCCCATGACCTCCTTAGAGCTTCCCTGTACTCCAGCAGAGTTTACTTATTTCTCCAACTGTGTTCTCCAAATCCATCTCTTGATTAAAAATCCTCACAGACTAATACAGAGGGAACTAATACATTTGTTTTATTTCACTCAGAATGCTAGAAAACAAGCAGCAATTACTTTGCTGCTTACATATGTTTAGTTCAGATGGGGTAAAATGAATTATTGCACTTATTATTCCACTTTTTCCACTTAAATGAATTATTCCACTACAGGAAAGTTTTTACGGATGTTGAAATTTTTTAAACTAGTAAGAGAAAAGACAATGAATATCTGGAAAATGGAAATAGAACAAGCGTTACTTACCTTGAAAATGCCAACCCAGTCCTTCTGATGAGGATGGATATATTGGGTCAGTGTATAGTGACATTCAAGATGTGCATTTGGAAGATAACTTTTTGCCACATTTTGAAAAATCACATGTGCAAAATTGGATGTCTGCAAAGCATTAGCTGAAGACGGAACTTCTTGAAAGGATGACATGACTGATCTGTAACAAAATATTAGAAGTTATTACTAAAATACAGTGGAAGAATTTGGTTATAAAAAAATCTTAGAACTAATCCCACTCTTCCAAAACCAGACTGAAATAGCCCAAGTTCTCCCAAGCACAGTGCCTCAGCATCACTCCAAAACAATCACTTCTTATAATGAAAAAGCAGCCACTTCAGTGATGACACCAAGAAGAAGAGGCATCACTGGGCTGAATGCTCCTAACATTACACCTCAAAAATAGCAGCAGAAAGAGAGGGGGGAAAAAATGTTGTGAAGGGAAAAATCAAGGAAAACACAATTTCTCCTCAGGAGAATAGACGTTTGAGAGCTTGTACTGTTCTACAAGTCATTGTCCTGCATATTTAGTTTTACTACCATAAACTGCAGACTTCATTGATAGTGGGAACACCTAGGTGTATATGAAGTTTGATGGATTAACAGCAAATTCAACCGGACTGTAGAAGTACTATTGCACTTTCTGTTCACCTCCTCATTCAGGTTGCATTGCACTGAAAACTACAGAACTGAAAGAAATGTTTCACAAAGAAGCCAGGAATATCCCTTCCTTTAGATGAAGCAACTCTGCCAGAAAGCTAAATTTCAATGTTTCAACTGGCAAATTTCAGCTATCAGGTTTTAGTCTGCCATCACGAGTTTGTCAGAACATTTGGTATTAGCAGGATTGAGGGCTTATTTCTGGCAAGAAGAGCTCATATTTCCTAAAATAAATGCACTCAGGACTAAACAGGTATTCATTTGTCTGAACATGTAAGAAACAGAGATGGTTTTGGTTAAGCCTTCAATATTTTAAGCCTATTACCATCTGATTGAACGTAACACATTAGGCACATATGGACCCTGAGAAACACGAGCAATAAACACAGAATGCCTTAATAGTGAAAACTAGAAGATAGAAAAACTACATAGTGATGAGAATTTACACAATCAATAAAATGAATAAGCATTAAAAGATTTTTTAAAGGGACAAATACGAGCATATCTTTGGAGAATACAAATAAATCCCATCTGTTAAGGGACTTCAAGATCTAGAGACGTGTTAACAGGTTTCGCAGCCTACTGCAACTCTGAGAATTCTCACATACCCCCAAAAGAAAAACTTACATTCATGATACCTCCCCAAAGCACCCCAAACAATAAAACTTTAAGAAAAACTTTTTTCCAAAAAAAAAGTCACAATTGCCTTCCAAATATGTCACATGTTTATTTTTAATAATTATATGATACCTGCAGCAAAGCCAAATACCATTGGCATGAAACAGCCTATCAGTTTTTGCCAGCCAGAATAACAAAATGGAAGTGCAACGCATTAAGAACAATGGGATTTAACATTTTTTTGAAACAGACCTATTTCCGATAGGGGGAAATTCCCGGTGACAGCCTCTCACAGCAGGCCAAGGCCGAGCGGCGGGTCCTGGCACGCCGGCCGGCGTGGGAGCGCCAGCGAAGGGGCTCTGCTTTCGCAGGGCAGCGGGGATTAGCGCCGGGCAGCAGCGAAATCCGCGAGGCTTAGGTGAAGCCGAGACCTACTTACGGTTCCGGGATGGCCGCGGGGACGCTGGGCGGCCGCTCGCTAAGCGCCAAGCTCCGCGGGCCAACGGCGAGCACGGGGAAGGGCTCCGCGAGGCCGCGGACGGAGGCTCGACCCCCTAAGGCCTCCGCGAGGCCGCGGACGGAGGCTCGACCCCCTAAGGCCTCCGCGAGGCCGCGGACGTGCCGGGCCCCGCGGGGAGGCAGCGCGCGGCGGCCGCTCGCAGCAGCGCCGCGGGGCGCCGAGCTCGCCCGGCAGGAAGCACCGGAACGAGCCGGGCCGCGCGCGCGGCTCCTCCCGCCGCACCTGACACGGCCGGGCCCTCCCTGCCGGGCCCCGCGGCCGCCCTACCGGGCACGGGCACCGACCACCGCTGCCCTCGGCCTCGCCGCGGCCGCCATGAAGGCGGCGTGGGGGACGGGGAGGGGAGCAACGGCCGCCCCAACGGCCGCGGCCCCCCAGCTCGGGGGGGGGGGGGGGGGAGGGGACGGCACCCGGGTGGCGCAGAACAGTCGCCCCCGCTTCAGCGGCGCCGCGGCGGGAGGAGGAGGGGGGAAGCGGCGTGGGGAGAAGGCGCCGAGGCCGCCGGCCCCGCTCCGCCCGGCGCCGCGGGCCCCTTACCTCGGAGGACGCTGGGGACATCAACATGGGGCCTCCGCCATGGACTCCTCGCCGCGCCGCCTCCCGCTCGCGTCACTTCCAGAGCCGCCCTCCGCCGCGCGCGGGGCGGGCGCTGACGGCAACCGGCTGGAGTCGGCGGGGCTGAGGCGGTGGCGGCGGCCTCGGCCTCGGCCTCGGCCTCGTCACGGGGCTCCCTTCGCCTCCGCCGCCTGCCTGGGGCGCCGCTGCCCCGCGGGGCTCAGGCTCGAGGCCCGGCTGGAGCCGGGGCCGGCGCCTGACCCTCAGCTTCAGTACCGAGACTTCCATAGTGCTCCCGCTGCCCCATGGCGCTGCCTGCTTGCCCACCCGAAGTGCAGCTCCTGGCACCTCAGGGTGATTCACCTCCCAGCCGCTGCTTGCCTGCACAAAGCAGCCGGAGGTGAAACAGGAGTGAAACCAAACACCAGCACTAGACACAGCTCTTCCACCAGCATAAATCCACCTATCTTCATTAAAATGCCCCCAAAACACACATATTCTACTTGGTGATTGTCCCCCACAGACTAGAGTTAGGTCACGTACTAGAATAATGGGCCTGAGAAGAACAAATACCATACCATAATCATCGTTGCCACCCTGGACTTCGACCAGCACCTTGAGTATTGATCACTACTGATCAATTACCATCTTTAAAATCACCTTTACCTCTTCATTATGCACTGTTTCTTCTGTATTTTCATGTATATCCTCAACAGCTTACTTAGAGAAACATGATAACTGTGACAAAATTACTGACTCAACATAGGCCTTCCTTTTGACAAGATTTTTGTGCTCGTGGATTTTCACAGCTTTCTAGTGGTCTGTCCTAACAGAAACAAAATTAAACTGGACCGTAGAGATTGTCATCTCAACTAATTAAAATTAATAATTTTATTTGCCTCTGTTCAGCAGCTTCTTATTGCTGAAAACAAATATTATTCTAGGCCTTCCTTTCTACTGTAGGTTATTATGCAAGTAATCCTTCCAATTTAACCTGGATTTTGTAATTCTTCCATTGAACATCAATTCCGCTATCCCTAGAAAGCAGTAAACCCCTTGCATTTTACTCACAGCCCATTTTAGATGACACAAGACATGTAAGTGAAGTCATCCTCACTTTTAAGACCAGATGATTTTTTTGCAATGGAAAATGAAACTGTTAGGTTAATCAGAAAAGCAATAAATAGGCAGGGACAGCTAGTTTTCGTTATCTCTATTCTGCATTTCTGCTTACGCTCTTTGCACTTCGTGAAATGAGATATAGGGCTGTTTAAGAGTTTCAAGCCACTGTTCTGCTGTGGTCTGGAACGTGGAAGGACCTGAGGTTTTACAGTCACCAGCTGGGAAGTATAGATATTGATGAGATGAACGAGCAGTTTTGCTTTCACTTCACATGAGCATAATGCTGAGTTTATGGGAATGTAGTGGGTATCCTAAAATAAAGGGTTTTTTTGATAGTGTAGATTTTGCAATGGTTGGGAAAAAAATCCTTTTCCTGATTAAAAAATGTATCCTCAATTGCGATTTTTTAAGGAATATTGTTTCTGTAGTCAGTTCAAAAATATGCATTCAGCCAGAAGAGTTATTGCTTAGTAATAATTTAGCATTGAGCTATTAGAGCTCAATAAGCTCAATTATTTCAGTTGCTAAATGCATGTCTAAGGAGGCAAACCAAACTTTTGTCACACATACAATGTAAACTAATTAAGAGAAAATGGATCAAGAATACTCCTAGCTTTTCTTGGACTTACAGCCACAATTTTCAAAAAATGTGTAATTTTCTAAACTCTCTTAGCCACATAAGTCTAAAACTGGTCCTTCTGTTTATGCAAATCATTAGATTTTTTACTGAAATAATTGAATGAGTTAATGAACATTTTGGCTGACTTAGATCCTAAGTTTAGATAACAACCTCACCCTCATGATACATTCATAAATATCCTACATAGGTACTGCCTAGGGGGCCTGTGTTCATCAACCTATATGCATGTAATGAGACGAGAAAAAGGTTTGCAAAAATAAAACTGTGACTGGCTCTGACAAAATTTGTACTTGGTCTTAGAATTAATGGTTAAACATCTTAATCAGTCTGAGCTTTCTAGGCAGGGTACTTTAGATACCCTGCCTAGATAGATCTCCCAAAATTCATCCGCATGACATAAATATTTTGGAAAATGTACTCTTGAGTAGCAGAATATTATACTGTTTTTGCCTACTTTCACAGTAAAATACTTTTAAGTTTTATATCCCCATTTCTGATGAGTCATGATGAGTCTCTAATACTAATACACTAATTCAATTAGAAAACTTTGTTGCGGGAATGATGGCAATAATCCTGTCTCAAATTTTGACTTGACTTTCACCTTTTCCACCCCATTGATTTAAATGAGAACACAGAAGGAGGTGGTTGTCAATCAAGCCAGTATTTTACAGCAAATAATGTGTTCAATATGTACTCTGAGCATCTAGAATTGTGTTTGACTAATATGTGGATTTTTTAAAAGAAAAATCAGTGAATGTCAAGTATCTTTTGATGAGGTTCACTCATCAAAACAGTTTTCCCCACTTTTTATGTACCCCCCCCACACATATTTATATATATATATATAATTCTTAAAGAATATATTTGTCATTTTGCTGGTGAAATATATTTCACTGGGCTATTTATTTAGAGATACAGAGCTGGTACAACTTTCAGAAGTCTGTAAATCTGAGGATAGAAAAACAATGGCAAGTTGGTAATTGTGGTTTTGATAGAAATATTAAAGAAAGTAAAAAAAATGTATGTGAATCCAATTTTTAGATCTCAACATTACTGGATTGTGAAAAGGCTTGAAATTCAGACTGGGACTTACACAACATAAAAATCCCACTGCTGTGTAATTAACCTTCCTTTGTCAGGATGAAATCTGCACAGGTCCCTTCTCAGGCTTGAATAAGTGAGATATAAATACTGAACTAAAACAGAATTGCCAGAGGAAGTGGAGGATGTGCTAGAGTCTCTTGGGGATTTTTTTTTTTTTTTTGAAAATTTGGAAATAATTTATTTTTTGCATTTTTTACAGTAAAGGAACTACAAGCTCCTTTAGCAATTTATATCCTTCAAAGTAGGAATGAGTCCCCACCATGACTGTTTGGGTATATTTGAACATGAGCTCAGATTCAGATTTCTGTTTAATAACTCTATCATGACCTGAACCAAAGCCATGAGGAGTTTTGAATCCAGACCTCAGTTTTTCCCTTGAGGCCCGTCTCTGCTTTGTATGAGTGGCACACGAATTATATATTTATACTTTTTAGTACCTGAGAAAGGTACTTTATGTTGTGGATATTCAGCGTATTGGCATGACGTGGTGCTATTGATGAAGTGTGGTAAGGAAATGCTCAGGTTCTAATGATTTGATTTCATTTTGGTTTGACTCCTATTTCAGCGCTCCCCACTTTTCAAAGTATGGGCCATGTGAGATGTAAAATCTATGTATCAATGTCACTAATCGGAAGCCCTTTCTGGTCACGTTGTAAAGCACACTTAATCAACTTCTTTAAGATCACATTACAGAAAACTATTAACTGTACTCCTGAAGCAGTTAAATAGTTATAAATAATGTTTTATATTATGGCTGACAACCCTGAATTGCTCAGCATTTAGGGAAGTCTAATCACAGGGCATACACACTTTGCCTTTCAGAAGATGGAGTGGGAAACCTTTGGAACGTATTGGAAATCACATGCTGCTGGTAACATTTCCTATTAAGGAGAAAGTCTCTCTCTCTGTGTATTTTGGATTCCTTTTCCAACACTTAATTGCAACTGATGAAGAAAAGCTATTCAAAGCTGCCAAGATTTTTAAACCTGAAAGAGTGAGGCTGATGAAATTTGTGGCTTTTCCCAAAAGAGCATAGGTGAGAGCAGACATGTAGATTTTGTATGTGTGTGCCTGCATAGAAGTGACACGGAGAGGAGAGAGCAAGAGCTTAATCCTAAGGTGTGAGACTTGGCAACACTGCACGCTACAATGGGCATAAGAAACCGCATGTCTGCAAATGCCCACACTTGATTTGCTGCTATTTCACTGTTAGGTTACTGTATTGTTAAAGCGAAAAGGAATGTTTTTAATAAATGCAAATAACGAATTAAATGCTTGCACATACTGAGGCTTTACTCTCTGGTGTATAATTAATACATGTGCACTGGAGCCCCAGGTCTGGGGGAGTGTTTCATTTCTTATTTATGATGTTTGCAAGGTGTTTTTTTAAACTGGTAGCATACCTCTTCCTGGCATGTACAGAACTGCATGTAAATGACCACTGAGTAGGTGTCATTTAAATCTGAGCAGATATCAAACAGGTAAATACCTTCGTTTTGTACTCTTTGGTAGATTTTACTGTTTCTCCCAGCCTTTTATCTTTGCTATCTGAAAGTAATAGGACGCTCCCAAATGACCAACATTATGTTTTCAGGGGCAGGAACGCTGCCCGTGGCGGGAGAGAAACCAGCAAAGAGATTTCAGCGCTCTCACGCAGCAGGGTTTGGGTTTAACCCTTGCGGATGGAAAGCAGGGAGACACTTCCCATGGCTACATAGAGCCACCGGCCTCCCCTCCAGGCTCCCCTCGGCACTGGCTGCCTCCACCAGCAGGATACAGAAATACCTGCAGATTGTGTTTTACTCCAAAGCCCCATAGTCATCTTGGAGATGGGTCCAACCTCCTCTGTTCCTATCTGCATGGAAAACTTCCCAGGCAGTGATCCGTTGGTCTGGACTCCTACATTCTTCTGCTGTCTGAATTCTTTAATTCCGACATAGGAGCTCTTGAATTCCATGCAAAAATAACGACCATATTATTACATATATTATTTGCAAATCAATCACGAGGAAGCTCGGAAATGCAGTGCTAAAATTAAACTACAAGTTTAGTTCATTCCCCTGATTGTTATTCTGTTGTATATTACTATCTATTAACATATGAAGTATAATAGGCTGGATCTGCTGTTTATATGCAGAAAGCATTGCAGTCCTGATTTTATTGGATTAGCA